TAAATTTCGACAGAAGACAGTTATGATTCTATCATCGAGAATACATAAACTATAAAATTTTGTCAGTTTTTCTTTTGTTGGAACATAACTAAAACTTACGTTAGTCATGCTTTATTTTCATCATCACTTTATTCAATGGATTTTCTTTCATTAACAAATAATTCCTTTGGTGAAATATCATCAATAGAAAAAGATAAATTTTTAATGAATATTTAAAATTTTAATAATGAAAATATTCAAATAAAATATACAAATATTGAATATTTATCTAAAACAATTTATTTACTTGGACAACTTCAACCATTATCATTAGATAAAACAAAACAAATTCTTATACAAATAATTATTTATTTAACATGTGTTTCATATGGTTCACTTATACATGTACTTCTTTGGCTTATAGCTAATTATCAAAAAGCTAATGAAAATGAAAGACCATGGATTGAAAATATTATTCATATGATGAATAAAAAAATATTTATTCATATAGAATCAATTAATTAAATAAAATAAATTTAACATAGTCGAGATATACTTAAAAGTCATGAAAAATCTTGAGGAAGTGAAGATGTTGAGGATAATATTTCATTAAATATGTCCATTTTAATTTAATACTCATTTTTATTGAATAATCTTTTATTTTACAGGTACACAAACTGATTTCACTTTAACAACATTCTCATTACACGATGCTATAAAACGTCAATTATGGTCAGATTTTATTGATAATCCATTATTACCATATTATTCAATGATTCTAACTCTATCATCATCATCATTAATAGTTAATATATTATCTTTGTTATCATCTCAAACATCAACATCACTTATTCAAATATTATTTGATACATATATTATAAATGAATTTCTTGATTTTGAACAATCACGTACATTATATATTTGTTCAAAATATGTTCCAATGAATTATTTAATTTTACGTTTATTAATAGATATAAATACATCAAATAGAATTTATGAAACAGGTCGTGCACTTTATTTTATATTTGATTTAATTCTATTTCGAAGATGTTCATCAACATGTTGTTTATTAGAACAAGTTTTACCTTATTTATTTAATATTAAATCAAATGAATATATCACTAATTTTTTAATCTTTCACATGGTTAATTTCTTAGGTATGTTACATTGATGAAAAGAAATTCTTTTTGTTTAGTTATATGGGTATATAAGGAAAAAAAAAAACAAAATAAAAAAAATTTTCATGTATGCTTTTAACATTTTTATTGTTGTCCTTGTTTGTATACCTTTAAGGAAAACATGCAAGAGAAAAAAAAAAGAAATGTTTGAATGAACAAAAGAAAATAACCAAAAAAAGTAATAACAAAAAAAAACAAGATGAGAAAAGAAAAGAGTTCATACATTTCATCAAATGAATATCACTTGTAAATTAATGATTTTCCACTAAAAAAACAAAAAAAAAACAAAAAATTTTCTTAAAATATAAATCAGTAAAAAAAAGAAATATTACATGTAGCTACATCAATATCATCGGGCATTTCAGTTATTTGTACTTTTAAATGACTTTTAACATTATTAAGAATTGCCATCTCATTTTGATTTGTAATAAATGTTATTACTAAACCATTTTTATCTAATCCACCAGCACGAGCAACCTAAAATTAAATATTTTAATAAATACAAATAAATTTTCATCTTAACGTACTCGAAAAAGATAAGTATCTGCATCTGCTGGCATATCATAATTAATTATAATATTAACATTTTCAAAATTCACATTATCTTCATATAAATCAGTTGTAATAAGAATAGTTGTTGAAAATATTTTAAATTCTTCATAACGTTGTTGACTAAAACAATTATAAATTATTTTTTTTTTATTACTTAAAAAATAAACTCACCGTTCTTCTTCTGCAACACCAAGATTAATTTCAATAGCAGAAAAATTTCCAGATAAATTTCTTCTCAAAACACCACTACGTACATTTGATTTAACAAAAATAATAATTTTTTCATTTTTAATATTTTTAATTTGATCAAATAAATGATGTAATTTATTATTTTTTTCATTTTCACGTAATTGAACATAATGATGATGGAAATTCTTTAATTAAAAATAATAATAATATTATAAAATTTATTTTTTCAAACTTACGTGAACTTCTAAATTCATTTTATTATCAATATTAATTTCCATTTGCTAGAAAAACAAAAAAAAAATAAAAAATAAATGTTTCATTATAAATATAATAATAAATAAAAATTACATGCTCAGTTGAATCAATATTTAAATGTTGTGAAATTTTTTTCATAAATAATGTTTGTTCTTTCATAAATGATCTTTGTTCTTTCATAAATGATGTTTGTTCTTTCATAAATGATGTTTGTTCAGCAAAAAATTTATTTTGTTGTTTCATTTGTTGCTGAAATTTTTCAAATAAATCTGTTAATGTTTTATTGATGTTGATTTGATGTTGAAGAAATAAATTAATATTTTTTTGTTCATTATTTTCATCACTAGTTGTTATAAGTTGTTGTTGTTGTGTTGCTGCTGCTGCTGCTGGTTGATGAACTTCTGGTAGATCAACATCATCAGTTGACTTTAAAAAAAAATATTATTTTTTTCGATACAAATATGATATATCAACGGATTTAGTACAATTCAAGTTCCTTTTTTTTTAGTATATCGTCAAATAAGAATGAATCATCAAATCAATATCAAATGACAAGTACAGTAATGTGCCACATGACGCTAAATGTCTTAACATTTATTCAGAGGATGAAATTAAAATATTACATTTTTATTGAAAATCGCGACGATTTTTGCTATTTTGAAAAAAAAAATCGGCGTAAAATTGTGATTAATCATATTTCACAAGAAAATCATCGATTTAATAAGAGTTTATCGAGATTATGAAAGAAAAAAAAACGATTTTTTAAGATAACAATTGAAATTTAGAATTTTACGTAAAGATTTTTTCAATATTGATGTTACTAATGTGAAATGAAAAAGATTGGATTAATTTAAAAAAACAATCAAAGCAGACCTATCACTTGCATTCAATTTTTTTTGAAAATATTTCGCTTAAATAATAGATAATTTATTTTAGATAGATTTTTAAATTTAGTATTTTTCAAATTAGCGTTATTTTCGTTGTCTATTCATTTAAGATGATTTTATTAAACCTATAATTGATATAAGAACGAAGTTCTTTTTTTATAAAGTAATGTGTAAAATTATCTTAATTATCTAATCTTTTTTTTCATATAGAAATTTTATTTATTTTTGATTTTAGATTTTTCATTAAATGAAAAACAAAAGCTTATAGTTTTTTTTCAAGAATATTAAATTCAGAAAAATTAATTTTCTACGTACGAGGAATTTATTTTTGCGTTTTTCGAATCTTTTATTTTTATATGAATATGAAGAATTGTCTTTATTTTTTCCATTTTATTATACTTTTTTATGTAAAAGACTGTTAATATTCATTTTTATTAATAAAAATATTTGTTAATTTAAATTGATATTTAGATTACTAGATAAAATGGCATGTATCTATGGTGATAAATGCACTATGCAGATACGATTTATGCATTTACTATAACTTGCTAAGGAGAGAGATCGGAATTCAATAGAATTTTCCAATCGACTCAGTGCAACAACAAATAAGAGACGGCTCGATTTAACAAAAAAAAATATAGAAATTCAAATAAATTTTTGGACTGAATCACTATATATTGTCTTGATGGTGAAGTCATTAATAATGATCTATCTTTTAATTGGTCATACTATTTCGATAATTTCTCTAAATAAACATTTAGGGAAAAAAAGACCGAAAATACAGTTCGATAGAGAAAATTCTCTTTATTGATTAGTGTCAAGCAGAGGTCCAACCAGGCTCACTTTTTGTAGGCCTGGCCTGCCTATGACAGGCCTACATCCATCCCGGCCTGCCGGTGCCTGTCATCTTTTTTCTTCGGCCTGGCCTGCCTGCCTGTCGTTT